AGTTGGGGCTTCATTATTAATGGACTGAACATGACATTGCAGGAGTGAAACTGCTCCTCTCAATGATAGGGTATGTGTCAGCGATTAGTTCTGTCATTAACATGCACAAAAAATTCAATATCCGGCGCGATGAGTTGACGTTTGACGCTCATCCCAAAAGTTTTCCTCTCGCCGCTTAAAAGGCTCAAATGGCTGAGGAAAGAGCAGACTATGATACCTCGTGTTAATCAAGAATCATTCGCAGGGAGCTTAAATGATACCTGCAAAATAATTTCTCCAAGTACTTTTTACACTTTGTTTTTGGGCGGTGATAGTGTTTGGGACAGTTTTTAGATTCTTGACCACACGACATTTATCGTGAACGTTATCTTGTTATACTTTCGTCTCATTGTTTTTCTTTTGCGTGCAGAAAAAAACGTCTTAATTGCCGTAGAAGTCTTTTGATTTCACAAACACCTTTTTGAAGTTTTTCCGCGACTGGGCATTGTGTGCAGGCCAAGATACAAATCACATTTTTGTTTTCATTTAAAAAGGAAATTTATTCGAAAAGAAGTTTAAAAAAACAAGTAGAGAACCCTTCGAAGACAAACTGCAAATGTTTTCACCGTTTCACAACAGTCCACCTCAAATTAATAAAATGATCACAGTCCTCTCTCATGCGCCCCCGAATAGGGTAGCTAAAAAATTCGTGCATGAGGCGTTAGGAATTTTTGGAAATTTCGCAATAAGGAAATGCTATATTTCTGGTTCATTTTAGAAACAACGTATTTGCGACCTCTTTCCTTGCGCAGATAGGTAATTTTATGTAAGAGCTAGAAACAGCAGCTCCTAATTGCAAAATGTAGTCAATTTCAGGTCCATTCTTCACTTTAAAGGCACTTTTAATGATCGTTCATAGATGATATTATTATTATAGTTTTCCAATAGTTTTCGCTTTTTTTACCAGAGGATATATGCGAATCACAACCGGACCCTCCTCGAGTCCTCGGTGACAATGAAAGCCATCCAAGGCCTCCTTACGGAAAGGAGTTGTTCAATAAAATACGATTATGAATCCAGCCCTTAGCCCGTTGTACATGCTCAAAGCCGCAGAAGCCTGCACAACCTATAATGCCCGTCTCGACGGAGCTCAAGTCCATGTTTCCTGATCTTACATTGAGACGACTGACTTGTACTTCCCACTTATTTACGTCCCGTAGCAAAGCAGGAGGTCGGCCATTGCTGCCTTGCTACGAAAAAACGTTGTTTGAGCATCTGAACGTTGCCAAATGTCCCCCAATAAAAATGTATATTTTTTAAAGAAAATTATGAATATTATTCCCTTGAGTTTTTAAACACTGTAGATTAAATTCAGCATAAAATTTCCTAAAAAATTGGAGTGAAAATAAGGAGGATTTTTCCTGAAAATTCGTGTTTTAGTGAGACAAGTTTGGCAACGTCTGAAGGCTCATACGGTGCTTTTCCCGAGCATGGCGGCCGATATCGCTCCCGCGAGCTGTGTTTCGCGACTCCGGCCATCACTCGACGCGCCAACTAGAAGCACGGGATAAAAAGGTCCCAATAACAGTATGTTAATGAGTCGGGTGGAATTATTATAATAGATATGGATCGCGAGTGCCATTGGCGTTTCACTCTACTGTCCACTGTTGCCGCTCGCAGCTCCGCGCCAAAGACAATATGTTCTAGAGACCACACAACTACGAACATCCTTGTGGTGTGAGAGGAAAGATTTACTATAAAAATGAATTATGTGCCGAAAAGTTGATTTCAAGTTATAAACGTTGTTATTTCTGGAAACTGCTACGGATCATGCAGTTTTCGGATGTTATATTCACAGTTCCTGCATAGCGAGAGCATGGATACACTGGAAAAAAAAGAAAGAAAAAAAACACACATTGGATCTAGAGTCCAGACTCTTGAAAACATTGACAAGAAAAAGGACTCTTGATTCAAGCAGATTTAAGCTTAAATCAAAAGGAAATCCGCTCAAATTAAGAGACTTGGTTCTTGATTTAAGCTTAAATCTGATTAAATCAAGAGTATTTTTCTTGTCGATGTTTTTAAGAGTCTAGACTCTAGGTACAATGTGTTTTTTTTCCCGTGTAGCTCGCTCTATGGAAGGCTTAGAACAATAAAAGACAGCCAAACCTCTTACCAGCACACACAATTTTACTGCCAATCTTCAGATTCCAATATCAAACCAAGATGGCTAAGAATGTTCATGAATGAGCGTTCGCTCGCAGAATGAGTAAATATAGGAGAAAACTAAGTCAAATACTAGCGTTACAACGACGGGTAACAATTAAAATACTAATAATAAAGCATTCTGGATAATTTTATTTCATAGGTTGGCTACCGTTTTGGACCCTTGGAGGCCACGAGACCTTTCACTACTATCTCGACAATGGTGGAAGCTTTTTCTTTCGGGGCTTCAACATTCAGCTGTTGACCTACCTACTAGGTTGATGGTTAACATCGTGTTGGAAGTTTCGTTTTGCAAATAAACTGAAGTTTGGGAAACTTGTTTGGCCCATGACGTCACGCAAAGCTGAGCGTCCACCTACTTGGTAGGTCAACAGCCAAAAAAAGAGGGATGACTGTTGCTCTCTTATAATTTTTCATTAGGTATTGTTGAGTGCTCGAAAGTAAAAGCTTCCACCTGTCTCCAAGAGGATAGTGGAGGTTCTCTTGTCTCCACTTGGAGCTCCATGATCGAACCTCAAAATTACCGACTCGTCCGTACTCTCTTACACAGGTACCCTGTCCTATGGCGCCACGGAGAAAAAAAACGTCGTGCGAGGGACCCGAAGTTTAAGTCATATGGATCTCTGAAGTTTTCAGATTGAGCATCTGAACACTTTAGGTCTAGCTGTCGAGGTTCGGATGACACATCTGAAACTTCGGTTTTCACATCCGAACAACTTCGGTTCTCACATCTGAAGTACTTCAGATGTAAGAACTGGAGTTTCAGATGTGTCATCCGAACATCGACAGCAAGACCTAAAGTGTTCAGATGCTCAATCTGAAAACTTCAGAGATCCATATGACTTAAACTTCGGGTCCCACGCACGAGGTTTTTTTCTCCGTGGCGCTTACCGAGTTTTGAATATGGGGCAAAACCATTTTCCCCTGCAAATTCTTCATCAGGAATTTTTTTTGTCGGTCAGCACTAAAAGGCAACCTCGGAGTGGAGGCTGCAGTACTCGGCGTGCATTGTTAAACAATCCCAGTTAGTTTATATCTGGCTGTTTAAGACTCTAATATTTTTCTCGAGTCCTCGACTTCCCACGTCGTCGCACGCGCTGGCCGCCACCAACACACGCGCACGCACACCACACATGCGCGCGCGCACAGCGTGAGTGTGATCCGGGCTCTCGGGCCAATTGGCTCATTATGCATATCGAGCCGGGATACCGACGGGGGTCCCTGTTCCAAGCGCCTCCGAGACTCCTCTTATCCTAAATAATAATGTCAACAGCAGTCATGTCGCCGTTTCTCGTAACTCTTTTTTTGACGTTACGTTCACTCTGTATCACCCTTTCACGCCGTGAACAGTAACACGGGCTATCCGTTCTCAGAATGGGCTCCGCACCGCGCTCGCGCTGTTGTCACCACTGCTCGCCGACCATCATCGCCATCAAAAAACTTTGTTCTTTCTTCGTCGGCAGGTGTGGTTTTTGTTGTTATTCTCGATGTCCCTAAAGAGGAGGAACACAGAGATGCAAAATCTCATGAAACTTCATGAAGTGAATTTTACGCAGTGGCATTTTTTAAGACTCTTGCACTGACTCACACCAAGAAAATAGATTGGTAGAATTTACCATTTCTTCACGCTGTATTTTACACAGCGTGAATTCTAAGTCGATTCTGCCAGAGGAATGGTTACCTGTACCACACTGGAAAAGAAACACATTGGATCTGGAGTCCAGACTCTTAAAAACATCTACAAGAAAAAGTACTCTTGATTCAATCAGAATCTACCGTAAATCAAGAACCAAGCCTCTTAATTTAAGCGGATTTTGTTTTGATTCAAGCAAAAATCCGATTGAATCAAGAGTATTTTTTCTTGTCAATGTTTTCAAGAGGCTGGACTCTAGATCCAATGTGTTTTTTTCCAGTGCAGTATATAGTAACGTTTACCTTTCTTCCGGCAGAATTGACTCTGAATTGACGCTGTGTAAGATACAGCGTGAAGGAATGGTAAATTCTACCAATCATTTTTCTCGGTGCATTATGGTATGAATAACGCATAGAAACAGTGAAACAGCACTTTGAAAAGCGATGAGCCGCAACTGCCACGAAGTGGTTGTGTTGCTATCCTTATATCGGCGTTTCTGAAAAGGAGGAACGCAGAGCTGCAAAATTTCATGAAATTTAACAAAATGGATTCCACAGTGAAATTTTGTAAGAATTTTTCATTAACTCATTATGGCATGAAACCCGTAGAAACAGTGACATTTTAATACATTTTGAAAAGCAATATGATTAGTCAAATTTTGAAGTTATTGGTAGCTCGTATAATTGTTGCGGATTGCATACACAGCCCTTCAAGAGGCGTTGAAAATTCATGGAAAATGAAATGTCACTTTTCAGCTAAACGAAACATCGCGTGTGATTCCATCCCGGGAAATATTATTTTGCACCACTGGAAGAACGCAACTTAATTTCAAGGATGCAAAATTGTATTTCTTCATCACATAATACGCATTTTAATTATGATCATTTTCCACTAGATGACATGGATGACAGAGACAATGACAATTATTTCACCCTACCATCGAAGCTATACTAATATGTAGCATAGTTAGTGTTAAAACGAAGACGAGTTGGTAGCTTTAAAACTCTGATGGATGTTCAGGGAGCGTTTCATTGGGAGTTGCCCGATTCCCTCCCGGAGTTGGGGGTTCCGATCCCCTCCCAGGATCGGCATGGCCCGATTCCCTCCCGACGACATAAATTAAGTGAAAAAATCAAAATAGGGAAATGACAACGTTGCTTACCTCTATGAGTGTGTGTCCGAAAAGCGATGTACAAAAAAAACCTTGGAGTGTAAAGGGTTCCTCGTCAACAAATAAAAATTAGTGAAATTTCAGATGAATGTGTTCGGTGAGTTTTTATAACGCAGCACCACCTTCTCACTCCATCCTTCAGTTCTTTGTGAAAACAAAATTTATAATTTTCAACTACTAACAAATCTTTGCTTTTTTCACTTTTAATTTTCTCAAAAGAAACGGCCATGGTGAGGTACGCGAGAACACTGATTCCTAGTTGCGCAATGACGATGCATTTTCGGTGGATACACCAGTGCATGCCGTTTATCTCACAATTCGAGCTCATATCGACGTTTACTGGTTCCAGCTGTAATCAGTGTTGGGCATCTGTCGGTCCTCAGTTGTCAAATCGTTAAATAAAGCGGGAGGGAATCGGGCTATCACTCCGGTTTTCCCAAAAATATTCGGGAGGGAATCGGGCTATAAAAATTGACCGCGGGAGGGAATCGGGATACGCCCGTTTCATTACGCACGTTTAGGATGCGGTGCGCTCATGCCCCCTCGCATATTTCATCAGTTTTTTCTATGAATCCAATCAAAAACTTAATATGTAGGTATGAGTTCGTGTTGATGGCCTCGACATTTAGCTGGAAAATGACAAATTAACTATCCATTCACTTATATATTCATCAGTCTGTAACTGTCTCCATGAAATATGTCTAACATGTCCTACATACTTTGATTGCATCACGCAAACTTTTGCTATTTTTAACTCGTCCGTAATATCATCTATCCATGAATGGAAGCTAGGGGCACGTATGTTGTTTTTAAAATGAGCCAGAAAGTTTGTTCTTTGATGCCTAATATGGCCCAATTTGTGTTTTGACCATGCAAGACTGAGCTACGGAAAAGCTTAATGCAAGCATGATAATTGTCATAAAAACGAAACACAGCGACAATAATTCAAAGAGAACTTCACTGAGCAACTAGAAGGGACCTTTCTCTCCTATAATTTCAGCATTATCAAAAAATATCCGATTAAAATAATTTATTGGATGAATTCTGGCCAAAGCCAGAGAGAGCCAAGAGATTGGAAAAAGAACGTTTAAATTTGCAAATGCCTACGCAGATTTCTGTCAAACATTCATTTTTCAAATTTTGTGCTCAAGCTGAATGCAATTTCCGTAAAAAAGGAGAAGAGACGATAGCTTAAATACAAGTAAAAACTGTGTAACTCTATTTCAACATGTCAGAATCTCCGTTTACGTTCCAGCTTTTTAGAAAAAAACAGACCGAAAAATTGCCTTTAATATTCAGTGAATATTCTTGAATGCAAGCAGAGCGTTCGGAAAAGAACTGAAGGAAAACTGTTTGTTTTGGTCTCTTTAAAAATATGTAAAAAGCGAGGGAAAATTCACAGCGTTGTGATTGGAGATACACGTGCTTTGACTCTAGCCAAGCGATTGCCTAGGTGATAGAGTGTGGACGAGTTTAAGGAGAATAGTCCGTATTCGATAATGGTTCGATGTATCGTTTGGTTCAAAACAATAGAACATAACCTCAAACCTAACTATTAGAATTTAAGTTGAAAAAGCTGAAAATGAGAAAATTCCTAACAATTTCACTTTGCATTGGCATTTAGCACTCAAAAGAATAAAACATCTGTCACAAAAGACCCGTTCCCTCCGATTTCTAAATTGACTTTTGAGGCGATGTTTAATGTTTTGAACCAATCGATATCGATACAATCTCACCTGTTTGATGTATCGAATACGATCTGTAGATGAAATGCAGAAGACAGAAGAGTGGCAAGTGATTGCTAAAAGAAGGTGGTCGATGACTTAGACCTTTCAGTAAAAGCTGTTCCGGTCCATTTAACAGTCGGGCAGCACGGAGAGATGAAGCGTGGGGTTGTCTGATCCGACCGACAAAAATGCAGTTTCATTCGGTAAATTTCTAGACGGGGTGAAAGCCGAGCTTGGTTTGTCTCGGATGAGAGGTAGGGGATACCAAAGTAAATTGTAAAAAAGGTGGTGAGACAAAGGAGGAAGAAGTGGGCGAAGGGAAAGGGAATGACCCTCAAGTCCCATGGGAGCCGTAAGCAACTTCATACCCCGCTAGACCTCTGAGAGCAATCATCTACGGTCGCCCATAAGACAGCCCGCCCTTAATGGTTTTCGATACTTTTGTATTGCCTCTACGTTCGACAGCCTTATGGTATCCGGCGTGATTTTTTCTTTCCTATGAGAGAAACAAAATATACTTTTATCCTTTACTCAATTACGCCCAAGCTTTTGCGGATCCTTACTCTACCACGCTCGTGGCTGAGAGAAGCTTTCAACTCTCTAGGCATGCATGTAGCTTTTTCTTGATGGAGGTAAAAAAAAAGAAGAAAAAAAAACCAAACGAGCTGAAGTAAAATCGAAGAAGTTAGTCACTAGAATGGTATATTAGCAAGCGTGTTCAAAATTTGATAAATTTCATTCGTCTTGGAAACTATTAAGGTAACTAAGCACGAGAACACCCTTTTTTCTGAATTAACTATTATTAAAGGAGTTAGGCAGAATGTCCTAATCTGCTGGCAAAATGTGTTTGAATGGAAATGTGGGCTTGCAACGCCACAAGGCACAACGCTCTCATATTTTTGAATCTATTTTTCTTCATTTTTCCTCATCAGAAAAAAGTTTTAAATTGCGATTTGAGCACACAAACGGCTTTCAAATGAAGCAGTGATGCGCATATTACCGAGCAGAGCCTGCACTCTAAAACTCATCATAGTGGGGCATTTAGTATTTGTTTTTAGTTACGGATAAACAACGTTCTTACAATTCTCTTACAGCACAGAATTTCAGGGTGCCCCTGCTTTTCTAATCGTAGCTGGCATTGTGTTTTTTTATTTCAAACGCTTGACGTGCAGTAAAACAGCATTTTTTCAATGATATTTTAGAAAATTGCACATATTTTGATCGAATATAAAATGCTGATATTTATATCGGTAGGATAAGAGATATGAATGCCCAATTGCCCATTCGTAATAGAAAACAGTATTAAAGAAGGCAGAAGAAGCTGAGATCAGTATGTTACTACCATATAGGACCAACACTGTAATGGGCCGGTTTTGTATTGGTTTTTTCACCAAATTGTTACCATGTGGTTGTAATATGGACGTATTTCTATCAAACGGACCTAAGCGCCATAGGGTGAGGAAGGTAGAGGGGGGCTTGGATTGGCGGCGGAATTGGGCGTCCGGCTTATTCCGTCCTATACTCGCAATGCTTTTCTATGGCGCTTAGGTCCGTTTGACAGAACGCGCTATCCGGCATTCTCTCAAAAGGAACTCAAATTGGCGCTTCGTTCCTTGATAGAAATACGTCCATATAGACAACAAATTGATATCAACGTGGTAAGAAAAGTTTGTATAAATATGATCTGAACATGTTTTTAAGATGGTCGATTTCAGTGTTCGAGATCGTCTCGATGATCGTAGTACAGATGCGGATCCAGCAATTTGGTAACACCGGATTCCCTCCATTTGAACCTATGTTAAATAATCGATTCTTGTTGGAGCACCTAGCCCCTCCAAGAATCGATACATTTCCATAGGTTTAAATTGAGAAAAACATTGGTGCCAATATGCTAGATCCGCCGAATGTTGTAGTAATTATAACCATTGGGGGATTCTTTTTAATCATGTGACAGATTGATAAATGATTGTTCCAGGTGCGGAAAGGAAGTGTGACGATGAAAAGGAGTGAGAAATGGAGACGACATGAAGGATAGTTGTGCGGGAGCCAATTCGCGCCGACACGGAGGGACAAACGGGACAGGGCCCCGAAGCTGGGTATCGATTACAGCTCATAAAATAATAACAGGTCGAATATATCATTTGCGACCAGATATAAAACATTCGTAAAGATAATGAAAAAGTGGAGTATCTTAATTTATGACGCCATTCATCATTAGATTATATCTGGAACAAGAATGGGCGCTCGGGGAGCCCCCAGTCAATATACATCGCCATTTGAGCGGACCAATTCACAAGATAAATGCTCCCAGATATATCATACGATGCGCTTTGTCCGTTTTCATATTGGCTACAGTGGCGAGATAGCCAACACCCAGCGCGATAAACCACGTTTTTCCCCTTGTTTTTTGCCCATCGCTCTGCAGATACGTCCCACCACTAACAACATTCCAGCGCTTGTTCCAATTTTTCCCCTTAATAATGTATTCTAATGGGTCTATTTCATTTATGCCGCCCCGCGATTCGCGATAAAAACGTTTTGTTTTAAATTTGTTCGGGACATTCGCTCTGCTGCGAGCGGCTATCATGTCATCGCGGCACTCAATCTGTGGGTCTCTAGTTAGCAACACAAATACGAACAACATTGCTGTCACGCGTCGTAGGAAATCGCTACTTTTCTCCGTTGAACTGGGTGAGCTGGAGCTTGTTGCAAATTTCACAATCCGAGTTATCAATAAATTTATGGAATTTGAAAAAGAGCCGATTTCACTCAGCAACATTTGAGGTCCCTTTTTAACATAGCCAAAGATTCATTTTAGATGAAGAATAAGATGAAAATGTATGAGCAAAAGTAAGAGGAGGCACTGATAATAGACTGCTGAAAGTTACTTGTTTTTATGTTGCCAACTAAAAGAAATTTTATTCGTTGATCGTTGTCAATTTCAAAATATAATGGAAGGAATAGGAAAATGTAGATGTTCAACGGATGCGTAGAGCGGAGCATTGCGAGTTTTTGCCGCGCGTCATCGCGCCTTCAATTTCGCAGATGCGACACGGACATCCATGAAGCACGAATAGTTGTATGTCTGCGCCGTCATCAATGTGCTGTCTTTCTCTTGCTCCATTTCCATATTGTATTTGTTTCCGTTTGTTTTACTCATAGTAGTGCTTTAAGGGCTACGTGAACCATATAGCCGAGGGTAGGAGAGACACGTAATCGGGCCTCACTTTTTAATTTTTCTCCCGAATCTGAGCTTCACGTCATTAGCAGCACAAAGCCGATCATTTCCGAGTTCTCGCCTCTCGCCATCACGCCTTCAATTTTCCAGATGCAACACGGACATTCATCAAGCACGAATAGTTGTATCCTTGCGCCGTCATCAAAGCGCGTTGAGGCTCCTCTTATTATTGAAGTTTGAGAACATTTGACGTTAAGTTTCATCAAAATAAGGTAT